CACGTTCATGGCCTGTGATTTACGTCAGAGTTGACCTCAGAAAATTATTTAGGGGTCCTCCATTTTAGAGACCCCCAAGTCTTCACCTCCTTCACAGTTGTCAAAGGAGGAGACTCTAGAGCCCTCTCTTGGGGTGAGAGGAAGGAGAGAACCTTCTCCTGGAACTGTCTGCTACAATTATGGGGCTCTTCTGGGTCTGGGCCTCCAGTTCTCACACAGTTGGGGTGCAAGGGAGATGGTCGCCATGTGGCAGGACACTGGACGTGGGCCCTCTGGATGCTGGACATGGAGCAACAGACAACTGCCAGGTGGCTTGGCACAGCCACCAGAGAAACAACTCAGGGTCACAAGAGGACCAGCAGCCCCTGGGGTGGGAGAAGTGGAGCCCCAGCATCTCTGCGGAGACTCCCAGACTTGAGGATGCCTGGCTCCCCTTGGTGGAGGCCCCCCAGGAGGCTCAAGATCACTCAGCAACGTGGTCACTCGCCTCCTGACTGGGGTATCAGTGAGCTCAGACGGTGGGAAACTTGCTTCAATCCCAACAGTCGGAGGCTGTATTGTGGCGTCTCTCCCATTCTTTCCCCTAGTAATGAGAAGTGTGAAAGCTCTTGGCATGCTGTTTTCCAGCATAAAGAAAACAAGCAAACTCCTGATCCAAACTGCCTGTAAGAGAGCCAACCCACCCAGGGAGGCAGGCAGAGAGCAGTGGCTTCAGAACAGCAGGAACTGGGCAGTCAAGCTCCATCTGGGCACAAGCAGGCTGCCCGAAGATCTCTCCTGTCCCTTTGCTGTCCTCCCCTCCCCCAAATACCTAAAGGATTAAATGACTACGGTCTGGGCAGGAAGTCCTTTCCAGGCCCTTGCCGGGCCACATGCTGAAGCCCAGAGTTGGTTGCAAAATCCAAGTTCAAAACTATTCACACCAGTGAAAATCTGAGAGGCTTCAACGACAGAACTCTCAGCCAGGTTCTGTCTGTGGGCCAGGGTCTCCTCAGCAGGCAGCCAGGGACTTCCAAACAATCAGAAGTGACTTGGACAGAAAACAGCTGCTCTTGCCTGTCTGCAGAGCAAATTCCATAAATATGTTTGCTGAGAACTGCTTTTAGTAACTTTTTTTTAATGATTTTTAAAAAAAAAGAGTACATGCTCATAAACATTGCTTATAATAGCTAAAACCTGAAAACAGCCCAAATATCCAAAAACAACAGAACGGATAAGTATATTATGCATACAATGCAATAGTACACAGCAATGAAAACAAATGAACTATAGCTAAGAGTGAAAACATGGGGTGGGGGGGCTGGGGCTGGGGCTCAGTGGTGGAGTGTTCACCTAGCACATGCCAGGCGATGGGCTCCATCCTCAGCACCACATAAAAATAAAATAAAGGTATTGTGTCCAACTACAACTAAAACAAAATATTAAAAAAAAAACCCATGGGTGACTCTCAGAATAATAATGTGGAACACAAAAAGAGAAGACATGGCTGAGGTATGACTCAGGGGTGGAGCACTTGCCTAGCATGCATGAGGCCCTGGGTTCCATTCCCAGCAGCACGTGTGCACCACCACCACCCCCCAAAACACACACTCAAAAGACACAGAAGTACAGAGTATGATGCACTTGAATAAAGCTCAATGACAGGCAAACTGCACACTGTTTTGTTTAGGGATGCACACGTGATGGGTGACAAAGAAGGCAAGGAAATGGCTAAGGTGGAATCAAGGGTTTTTCGACAAGCTCTACCGAGCTGGTAATGATGGCTCTTCCTCTGGATGGATATTTGATTCTTAAACTGAATATTTATATTTTAGGCACTTTTCAGTATGCATTTCTTCTTTTTTTTGGGGGGGGGGGAGGCATTCGAAAAGATACTCAACTTCATCTCCACCCCTGAGGCACTCGACCCCTGTGCCACATCCCCAGCCCTGTTTTGTATTTTATTTAGAGACAGGGTCTCACTGAGTTCCTTAATGCCTCGCTTTTGCTGAGGCTGGCTTTAAACTCGATACTGTCTCAGCCTCACAAGCTGCTGGGATTACAGGTGTGCACCACCACACCTGGCTCGGTATGCAAATTTCATAGAACAATGACTTTAAAAGTTAGATACACAAAGATAACCTTTGCCGTCTATGACTCAAGTGCAAAAATCAAATGTAATATATACCCCAAACTATAAAACATCATTGACAAGAGTTAAAGAAGTCCTAAATGAATGAGACGAAAAGATAGCACAGGCCACGGATAAGCTAGCCTTATACAAATTCAAAGCATTCCCAAATTTCCAGCTCTCCTTTTTCTTCTTTATTTCCAATACTAGGGACGGAACCCAGGGATGCTTTACCTCTAAGCTACATCTCCAGCCCTTTTTATTTTATTTTGAAACAGGATCTCTCCAAATTGCTGAGCCTGGCCTTGAACTCACCATCCTCCTGCCTCAGCTTTCCAGGCTGCTAGGATTACAGGTGTGCACCACTGTGACCAGCACAGGCAGGTTTTTTTCTAATAATAATAATTTTTAAAATCTGCAAATAGATATGGAATTGCACATTACTTCACATAGCCAAAACAATACTGAAAAAGAAACATTTTCTTTCCAATTCTCTTCCCAATTTCAAAAACTTACTACAAACTTACAATGGGGCTGGGAATGTAGCTCAGTGGTTGAGCACTTGCCTCGCATGTGTGAGGCCCTGGGTTTGATGCCCAGCACCCCAAAACAAGAAGAAAGAATATAGAGGGAGGGGGAAGAAAAAGAGCTACAGTAACTTTAATGACATGGTAAAGACAAAGATAGGTGCAAATCCTTATGAGCTTCAAATCGACAATGGTTTCTTAGGTGTGACAGGAAAAGAACAAGCAACCAAAGAAAATCCACTGCTGTCTGTGTGTGTGTTGGGGGGGGGGGCTGTGCTGGGAATCAAAACCAGGACAGCTTGGAGGCTAAGCAAGTTCTTTTTCTTAGACCTTCATTCCTAGTCCTACCTTTGTTCTTTGAGCCACATTATCAAGATAGTGGAAAAAAAAAAAAAAAAACAGTGCACATTATGGGAGAAAATATTTTCAATCAAATATCTGACAAGGGTCTAACACCCAGGATATACAAAGAACTCTTAAAAACAACAAAAAGGCAAACAAATTTAAAAATAAGCAAGATACCTGAATAGACATTTCTTCAAAGTTGATACACAAATGTCCCAAAAGCATGCAAAAAGATGCTCAACTTCATTGTTCATTAGAGGAATGCAAATCAAGTCAAAATCACAATTGAGTTGGGTAAAGTGGTACTCTTCTGTCATACCAGCAACCTGGGAGGCTGAGGCAAGAGGATCAAAAATTCAAGGCTAGTCTGGGCAACTTAGTGAGACCTCTCTCAAAAATATAGGGTTGGGTTGTGGCTCAGCAGTAGTGTGCTTGCCTAGCATGCATGAGGCACTCACTGGGTTCGATTCTCAGCACCACATACAAATAAGTGAAAAAATAAAAGTCTATCAACAATTTTAAAAAATAATAATAAAAATAAAAATATAAAAGGATAGGAGTGTAGCTCCGTGGTAGAAGTTTCCTAAGTTAAATCCTTAGCACCTGGAACAAACACACAGAATGAGATACCACTTCACACCCATTAGGACAGCCCAAAGCACCAAACAAAAAGTGTTATAAGAAATTGGAAACCTAAAATATTGCTAGTGGAATGTAAAATGGCACAGACACTTTGGAAAATAATCTGGCAGCTCCTCATAGGTTTAATAGTTACTTTAAGACCTAGCAACTCCACTTCTGGGTAAGTGCCCAAGAGACTTGAAAACAGAGGTCCAACAAAAATTTGTACTTGGATAACATTATTCATAATAGCCAAAAAGTGTTAGCAACTCAGATGTTCATAGCTGCTGAGCAGATAAGTAAAATGTGACATATCTGTACCATGGAATATTATTCCTCCATAAGAAGAAATGAAATACTGATATATGTTATATAACTTGAATGAACCTAAACAACACTAAAAGGGAGAAGCCCGACACTAAAGGCCACATATTATATGATTCCATTTACATGAAATGTTCAGAATAGGCAAATCCATACATTTTGCAAATTAGATCATAGAGATGGTTGCACACTTGTGAATATACCCCAAACCAATAAAATGTAGTATTAGAGGGCCAGTTTTACAGTATGTGAATTATATCGCAATTAAAAATATAAAAATTTCGAACAAGGTTTAAAAACCTGTACAGTGGGAATCAACATTTCATTTTTAAACAACCACACCGAATGACCTATATTGGTTAAAGACACTCGATCCCCCGAGGCCCCACCACCTGTGAGCGCTGGGAAACCACTCTGGCTTCAGGAATGTGGCTCACACTCCGGAGCTGTTTTTGTCACCAGTGGAAAGAATGTCTCCATCACCCCCTCCCCACCACACACATTCGCTGGCTGAAAGGGAGAAAGTAATATTAGCCCTAAAAACGCCACTCCTCCCCCAGGGGACAGGACGTTCCATCTGGCAAGAGCAGGGGTAACCCTAGGCGGAGCGG